GTTAGAGGCAAAAGCCAACCAAGTCGCATATGCAAATGACCTCTGTGCTTTGAGGCAAAGGCCAATGAGGCTGCATATGCAAATAACCTCTGTGTTCTGACTGGCTATAGGGGGGAGGGGAACAGCAAACTGTTTAGAATGTTGGAGGCGAGACTCAAGCAATGCAGCCAGTGGATAGGGACAGATTCTGAATGACACACCAGGGCGCCAACCAATTCCGGAACGTGTGGAATGTTCTAGAGAAGTACCACCACCATTCAGCTTTTATTTATTAGGGAGATAGAGAGATGAATGGGATAGAGCAGGTAGAGAAAGAAGTACTTTTCTCCCTTTCTCACAATACCTGAAATTGTTGGCACTTAATGAAATTGCTGAGTAGTCAGGTTAGAACAGATAAAAGGAAGTACTTCTTCACCCAAAGAGCTATTAACACATGGAATTAACAGACAAAGGAGGTGGCGGTGGCTACACGCATGGACATTTTCAAGAGGGAATTAGATAAACATATGGATCAGAGGTCCATCAGTGGCTATTAGCCACAAGGAACTCTCAGTCTGGGGCAAGTGATGCTCTCTATTCTTGGTGCCTGAGGGGGGCAACAGTGGGAGGGCTTCTATTGGCCTGGCCCCACTGGTGGACCTCCTGATGGCACCTGGTATTTTTGGTCACTGTGTGACAGAGTGTTGGACTGGATGGGCCATTAGCCTGATCCAACATTGGCTTCTCTTATGTTCTTATTTTCTTAACTTCATATTACAACTCTGTTCACTGCCAGTATAGGCATAGGTAACACAAGATACCTGTCAGTTTTCTTAACTTCATATTACAACTCTGTTCTGGGCATAGGTAACACAAGATACCTGTCATAAGAAACAAGGTACTGAAGGCTGAGAGAAAGACATTTGGACTGGTTCTACACATTCCCAATCATGTTAGAATTTGTCAATAGCTATAGGAATAATACCACCTAGGGTGCGTTCAGACGGGGAGCTAATCCCGTCATTATGCCAGCTTGAATTTTGTCCCGATCTTTTTAATTCATCATAGCACGACCAGACATCCCCCTGGTGAATCACCTTACCACGCACTGCCTCTGTTGTGGATTGTCTACATGGCACCCACTGAAGGAGGCATGCATTGTGGGTTTTTTAAAAAAAAGAACTTTTTGTACATGAACATATGTGTCACAGTGCATCCTTGTTAAAGGAGGCGTGCAGTGGGTTTTTTTAAAAAAGTTTTTTTAGATTTGACAGCACGTTTTTGTTGATCCACACATGTGCAGAGATATTTTAAAATGGCACCTGCTCGGGATGCTGACCTCAGACCACCCCGACAGGAGGATTGCATGCTAGTGGAATGATCAGACGGGTGAAAGCCCGCAGTTGTCCTGAAGGTAACCGAAAACCCCAGATTTAAAATGCTATCTTTTAAGTACGGCTCCGGAGCACGGCAAAATGGGATGCCCACGGAAGAGGGACATTTCCCAGGTGTTTGTGTCTGGACATTACCTTTAGATCCGTGAGGCAATCATGCCTCACGCAGATCCAAAGAGCCGTCTGATCGGACTCCTAGAGAACCTATTTATTTATGTTCATGGGCTTGGTAGCAACTACCAAGAAGAAATTGCATGCCTTCATCTGCATTTTAAATACATATTTAACTGGCATGGTGTAATGCATGTTGTCTTCTGAAATAGATGCTCTTGGTGGGGTGCATCTCAATGGCAATATTTTACTGTATGTAGAATTTCCTTTGACACAACATATCATTCTTCTTGTAGTGTCTTGACAAATAATTACCAGCATATCCTGGCATTGGCTTATGTTGTGAAGGAGATCAATGAAAACTGCCAGATATTACCCAATGTAACCTTGGGCTTACACATGCATGATAGTTTTGCAAAAGGGACGTGTTACGCCATAATGGTCCTTCTCTCAGGGCACATCAGATTTCTTCCCAACTACAAATGTGGCATCCAGTATAACCTTGTAGCAGTTATTGGAGGTCTTTATCCCCGCACCTCCTTTGACCTGGCAATGGTGTTGGGAATCTACAATGTTCCACAGGTAGTATGCATTGACACACTATGGGGATTCAAGATTAATATTAAATACTTTATGCAACAGTGCTTTAAAAAAAAACACCTGCTATGAATACATTAATAGGTAGTTGGGGTTTAAATGTAATTATTTACATTTCTCAATATTTCTAGGAAAGCATCACATTATAAATCACCCTTGTGTATAACAATTCAGCACACAAATCGAAATATGTCAGTTAGTCAGAGCTCAAAAAACTACTGCAATAATTCCAAACATTTCCACTTTTTAGTTGCTATAGTACAAAATTTTGCTACCACATACGTTACAAATCTCTATGTGTCTTCTAAGAGATATTTCCAGAGAACTTTAGATGTAAAGTTCATATAATACTTCAGCAAGTAAAAACAAACTGTAAGATAGCGGTAGCAGTAATTCCTGGAATGTACACCTCTTGAAAGTGCTTGAGAAGCAGTGCTTGTGAGTGGCTGTATTAGATAACACCATTAAAAATTATTTAAGAGACCGTGGGAATGATAAAAACATTAAAATCCCAGAGCTCTGGAATCAGCCTCCTGGTCTGGCACTTCCAGAAGTATTGTCCCCAGGCCTGTTGTACACAAATTCCTGTTCTACAGAAATTTAATTGAGATTTTGTAAGCCATTGTTACAATACAGGTGGTGTATGACTACATTCTCACTATTCCATTAGAAATATCTGTTTTCATCTCATTCATCCATGATATCTTTCTTCAGTTTATATATGGAACTGGTCTAGGACTGAATGGCAGAAATGAACCCCACCCATTCTACAATATGGTCCCAAATGAAGGCCACCAGCATATGGGACTTCTCCAACTACTTCTGCATTTCCGGTGGACATGGGTTGGAGTAATTGCTAGAGATACTATCAGTGGGGAAAGGTTTGTGAAGATGGTTGTTGAAAAGTTTCCTTTGAGTGCCATCCGTTTCGCCTTCCTACAAAGAGTTGAGGACTTGAAGATGAGTGACATTTGGGATGCAATGGATCAGCTACTGGAATTATATAATATTGCAATGAAGAGCCATGCAAATGCATTGATCTTCTATGATGAAAATATTTTGATTTTGAGATGGTTATTATATCTGCCAGAACTACAAGTGGGAATGGTACAGCCTCAAGGTAAAGTGTGGATTATGACAATAGAGATGGAGCTCACATCCTTGCTTTACCAAAGGAGTTGGGATAAAGAAGTCCTCCATGGTGCTCTGTCTTTCTCAGTTCACTCAAATGAAGTGCTGGGATTCCAGAATTTTCTGCAGACCAAAAGCCCTGTATTGGCAAAGGGAGATGGTTTTGTGAAAGAAGGATTTCTGGGAACAAGCATTCAGTTGTTCATTTCAACATGACCAGAAGCCATTGGAGCCCAATGGGTCATGTACTGGTGAGGAGCAGTTGGAGGATATCACTGGGCCATTTTTTGAAATGCATATGACGGGCCACAGCTACAGCATCTATAATGCTGTCTATGCTGTGGCACATGCTTTACAAGCCATACAATCATATCAGTCCAAGCACAAAGCAATGGTGACCGGAAGGACAGTAAATTTTCAGCCTTGGCAGGTAATGGCCTCAGCTAGTAAATATGGGAAACCACCACACCTGAGATTGAAAGGAGGACCCAATATTTTTTATTGTTTGTTTAATTGATTTATATCACACCCTCCCATGGGAGCTAGCTCAGGGCGGGTCATAACATGTCAGTAAATACATAGAATATCCCAAACTAACAATGTACAATAAATTTACTAACCAGATCTAAGATGGTAACTATTCCAGGACTTCAGGTGCCTCCTGAGGAAGCAAGTTAGATGGTCATGCACCATGACCTTTTGCCTGGAAATGCTTTGTTGATCTCATAAGCAGAGTTGGTCAGAAAGGGCACTATTGTACTGCAGCAGTACAGACTATGCGGCCAGTGAGAACATGAATATTTGCTAAAGACAGTTTATTGGTGGCTCTTTTATGGAGAACTAGGTAAGACTGAGCAAAAATCCAAGCCATCACATAGTGCTATAATGAAACAGTGCAGTCCAACAATACTGGCCAATATGAGTCTATGTTCTGAATGCTTGTGGGATGCAAACTGAACATTGTGGTAATATTTTTGCTTTCCTTTTCTATCTAGCTCCACCATTTACTGAAAGAAATCTCATTCAATAACAGTGCTGGTGATGAGATTTCCTTTGATGAGAATAGAGAATTAAGAGCTGGATTTGATATTATCAACTGGGTCATTTTCCCAAATCAATCCTTTCAGAGAGTCAGAATCGGAAAGCTGGATCCCCAGGCTCCTCCTGATCAACTGTTCACAATGCATGATGAAGCTATCATGTGGCACAGGAGTTTTAACCAGGTAGGGGCTGTATGCGGCTATGTTTGAGCTTCTCTGGTTTTCAGTCATATCACGTCTCTTTTCTCAGGTGTCAAAAGAGCTTCACTTGACGATAAAAAAATCAATTTAAAATACTGAATTTCTGATTATGCAGTACATGCCTGTGATGGAGTGATGAAAAAGCACATTTATGCTTCCCTGGTGCTGTACGTTCTTTGGCTGGGCAATGGACACCCACACTCATCCCAGCCCTGCCCCTCATTTGATTTTTAGAAGGGGCTGGGGAAATGGCATCATTGTCCATAACTACCAGAAATGAATTTCCCTTGCTAATCACGCCCATATTGCAAAAACAGAACTGTGTGTGCGTGCTTCCCCCCAATTTTCTCTGCTGTGTCACAATATTTTAAGGAAAGAGAACAATCTGGATAAGCATTGACAGGCTTCAGGTGGGTAGCCATGTTGGTCTGAAGCAGCAGAATAACATTTGAGTCCAGTGGCACCTTTAAGACCAATGAAGTTTATTTCAAGGTATAAGCTTTTGTGTGCATGCACACTTCTTCAGATACAACGAACGAAATTTTAGTTACTTTTCAGGAAAGACCAGTTAGAGTCAAGATGCAGAAGAACTGGGTGATTGTAGCTGAGACTGGCTTGTCTGGTTACCACTAGGGAACTACAAGTAATACCAGTAGTGTTCTTTTACCACCAAGGGAAGTGAAACTAATATATATCAAACTAAGTACCAGAAGTTATAAAATACATGAAAATATGTATCAAAATGTGCATTGTATGTGTGCTGTCGTGGATTGAGTTTGCGGGCAGAGATTCAAGTTTGAATCCGCACTCTGTTATTGAAGCTTGCTGGATGACCTTGGACCAATCACACACCCTCTACCTAACCTGCCTTACAAGGTTGTTGTGAGGATAAAATTGAGGGAAAAAAGGATTATGTAAGCTACTTTGGGTTCCTGTTGGGAAATGTGAAATCTAACATTATCAAAAAGTCTTCAGTTATCCGTTCATCATTTGGCATTGTAGGGCTGTTTGTGTTACATTAATGTGGGGTCTGATTTTAACACACTTATGAGTGTGTAATGAGTATATGTTGTTTAAAAGTCACAAATACCATTGTATATTTTCAAATAGATATATCTGCAAAGAGAAAGAGCATGAAAATTAAGAATCATAGGTTTATTTAAACAAACATGGATAATCAAAACTGTGGTTTCTAGATCAAAACATCTGGTCTAAAAAATCTGAAATCAATCCTATCCCATTGCTATTGGAATGTAAAAAATGCTGAGGATATCATTACTCCTTAGCAGGGGTCATTTCATAGAAAAAGAGCTAGGGGGACTCATTAGCATAACTCATTAGCATATACCACACCCCCTGACATCACCGGAAGTGTGTCCTCCCCACAGCCGGCGGCGACCTCCAGCGGGCACCAGCAGGGAGCTCCAGGCCCCGCCCTCCCGCACCTCACCCGGGGGGATGGTGTCCCCCCGCGTCCCCCCGCGTCCCCCCCAAATGACCCCTGCTCCTTAGGCATAGTGTAATAACGTTTTCATGGTACTTTTCTTTCCAATTTGTGAACAGACATTGCCCAGATCTGTGTGCACTGACACCTGCGCCCCTGGTTACAGCAAGAGAAAACAGGAAGGGAAGCCATTTTGCTGCTATGATTGTGCTTTGTGTTCAGAAGGGAAGTTTTCAAGTCAGAAAGGTAAGAGACGCAGCAGGCTAGGTAATTCTGATGAACCTATATGCCAAATGCATGGATAGAGCATGTTATAAGGCAGTATTCCCCCACGTGGCACCTCCAGGGACTATGGCAAGCACTGATTGGTTCCTGGCACTAATTTGGTTTTCTCATAAAGTATCTTCCCCTCCCCCCCCAAAAAAATGGCCAGCCCTGGATTTCATCCATCTGACTGGAGGAGAAGGTGCTTCAGAAGACAGCAAGAAGGTTCACTTTTGTGAATACAGGAGCACCTGGTCAGAAATAGCTACTTTTGATAGCTTGTGATCTCTAAACATTTTGTGATTGGCCCCCCAGCACCCTACAGCAATCATTTCGTAATTGCTCTCCCAGACCCCATGGTACCCATTTTATAATGGCACCCACTCCCTGTGTTCAATATCCCAAGGGCACAACATCAGAACTTGAACAGATAGGCCAAAGGTAACCTCTTTAGATTTTCACCAAGAATTCTAACTGGGACCAGGGTACCTGTGGGACCGCTTCCCCCAGTATGTCCCTCAAAGAGCCTTGTGCTCAGAGGCCCTGGTCCAAAAAAGGTCTTGCTGACCTCAAGTAGAGCCAGGGTTTTCTCTGCCTGTTGACATCCATGCCCTGTGAGACCTAGTTCAGTTCTGCAGGGTGTGTACAAGAGAAATGTTTCACCAGGCCTATAGTTGAGGACAGCAATGACCGCCCCCTGATCCACCCAGGGGAGGGAGCTAACTGCATTTTAAGCCATTGATGCATGTTTGATTTTATGGTAATCCATAGCCATAAATTTGTAACTAATTTATTTTTTTGGATTTTACTTTGTCTACCGCCCTGAACCCTTCAAGAAAGGGTGGTCTATTAATATAACAACAATAATAATGATAACAACAACTGGTTGCTTTGGTGAATCTAGTAGACTGAGAACGATATCTGACAGAATTGTTTCTAAAAACCCTGCCAATACCCACTGTATCATGAAAGGAAATCCACCCTAGTATCCATCAACACAAGGATCCTCTTATTCCATTTTACAAGGGACCTTTTTTGCAAGCAGAATAACCATGGGTTGTTTTGAGAAATTTAAAACTAAAACTTATATATATATTTTTAGACACAGATGACTGTTACAAATGCCCAGATGATCAATACCCAAACAAGGACCAGGATGCATGCATCTTCAAACAGATAACCTTCCTGTCTTATGAAGAACCGTTGGGGATCTCTTTAGCCATTTTGGCAATTTTCTTTTCTATGCTCACAGCTGTGGTTCTAGGGACATTTCTGAAGCACCGTGACACACCCATAGTCAAAGCCAACAACCGGAATCTCACTTACACCCTCCTCATCTCTCTCCTGCTCTGCTTCCTTTCTGCTTTGCTATTCATCGGGCGGCCTGAGAAGATGACCTGCCTCCTCCGGCAAACTGCTTTTGGCATTATCTTCTCAATGGCTGTATCTTGCGTACTGGCAAAGACACTGACTGTTGTTCTGGCTTTCATGGCCACCACCCCAGGAAGCAGGATGAAGAAGTGGGTGGGGGAAAGAATGGCAACCTCCATTGTCCTTTCCTGCACCCTTATCCAAATGGGCATTTGTGCTGTGTGGCTGGCAACGTCTTCCCCATTCCCACATGTGGATATGGATTCAGTGAAAGAAGAAATTGTGCTGGAATGCAATGAGGGTTCAGTTGTCATGTTTTACTGTGTGCTGGGCTATATAGGCTTTCTGGCCCTTGTCAACTTTGCTGTGGCTTTCTTTGCCCGGAAGCTCCCTGACAGTTTCAATGAAGCCAGGTTTATCACTTTCAGCATGTTGCTCTTTTGCAGTGTATGGCTATCATTTGTTCCAACCTACCTGAGTGTAAAGGGGAAATACATGGTGGCTGTAGAGATTTTCTCCATCTTGACTTCCAGTGCTGGCATACTGGGTTTCATTTTTTCCCCAAAATGCTATATCATTGCACTGAGGCCCCAGCTTAATAAGAGGAAGCAACTAATAAAAAGAAGACAATGAAAAAAAATCTGAGTTTCTGCTCTTATACATCTGCCTGTGAATCTGAGCCAGGAAGCCAGTTTCAGAGTATCATTTACTCCAGTTCTCTATGGAAAGACATGTATGTTCAACTGTTTTGAAACTGTTTATGTTTCCAAAAGTTGTTTTGTTCATATAGCAGCTGTGGAGCTCTTCTGTATCATATCATCCAAGTCTGGCTTACTAGGTTTCATCTCTTCCCCCCAAATGCTATACTGTTATATGTGGAGGACTGAGCTTAACATGAGGAAGCAGCTAATAACGGACAAATCCGTCAATATATGTAATTCTCAGCCTGACCAAATATGAGGATACTTAAATCCAAAGATTGGATTCGTAAATGGGCAATACAGATCTTTCTACAAACCTAAAAGAAAAAGAAAAAAAGAACAAGGTTTATGGAAAAATCTGAAATCTTCTTTAGAAATGGGAGTTAAAAAACCCCAAAATGATAAAGGAGCACACATAGCTTGAAGAATCAAATACCCTCAGCGACCATTGTTATGCAGCCACAACAGTTTTGCCAGCATTCCAGGTATGGTTTCTGTTAGTAAAAGGCAGGGAGAGGGGCAGAGCCATTTCTGGGGCTGTTTTGACCTTTGAAGGAGGCCCAGCAGCAACCACCAGCTGACTTGATAACTGAGAGGAAGAAAGGGGGAGAGACTAGGTTCTTTCAGGGAAAAGAAAGGGGAAATTCTGGGTGAGAGGAAAATTAAATACTCCCAGGAAGTCCTTGTGGGTCCCCCACTTTTGAATATCTAATGCAATCCATCATAATCTATGAGTGTGCATTTGTAAAAGCTGTAAGTGATACAAGTCCACCTTTGAATTTCATCCAACACTTGCCCCAGTGACCTATTTACTGGAAGAAGTCATTTAAAAACTAATCTCCTATGAAAATCACCCCTTTATGTATCTACAGCTTCCCTTAGGTGTTCTTGGCTACCAACACTCATATTGAATAAACATAAATATCAGTTGTGTGCAGCATAGCATAAGTAATATAGATATATACTATACAGTAAAAAGATTTCTAATGCATTTTTTTCCAATATTTTTTATTGAAATTTTTAGAATACATTCCAGTATAACAAAGATTTCTAATGCATGAGAAGAAGGTGTGTGTGTATCTTTTCCCTGACATTTTAAATCATGCTTCATTCAATTGCTTAAATTCCCAGATGCTAGGACAAACCTCTATTAAGTTTCTTTAAGATCTTGCTTCCCAGCCTGGCTTAACTCATCAGCATTTGATTGATTTAGTCCAGGGGTGTCAATCATGTGACCCGTGGGCTGGATCCAGCCCCTACAGGGCTGGTATACGACCTGTCAGCAAGTACTTGCATTTCCTAGCCATTACTGCTGTTGCGTCACCAAACCATCTCTTCCTCCTTAGGGAACCAAGGGAGAAGGAAAAAGAGACTGCAGGGGCGTGCAGCAGGAAAAAAGCACCCTCCTGCATCCTCCTCTGGGGATGCTGCTGCAGTGCCTAGGCTCTCTTCCTCCTTTAGTGAATCAAGGGGGAAGGAAAAAGAGAGCACACACGCATGCAGCAGAGAAAAACTACCTTCTGCTTCCTTCTCTGGGGCTACTGCTGCTGTGTTGCCTAGCCCCTAGTTTGGAGACGGAGTCCCATGGCACCTTCAAGACCAACTATCAAACTCGTTTACCATTGATTTCACATGTTCTGTTTTCACTCCCTGTGTCATACGTTCATTGATTTGTTCTTTCACTTTGGGAATGGTGGGGGGCAGATTGTGTGTGGGTCTGTGTCAAAGACTGCTTTGCTGCACTACTTTGCAACTGCTTTCCAAATGGGCCTCCTGATGATAGGAAGAATGCACAACTTTTAATGCCAGTCTCCGCTAGCCAGCTTTTAGTAGATAACGTAACTGTAGGTTTGCAAGGTGGGGGGGGGGGCTAATGGAGTGCACTAGGTTTTAGGCAGTCTGAATGAATGGATTGATTGGACCAATCACTGGGGGAGGGGCTTGTTTGAATCACGTATAATTCCAGAACTGGCGCCAAAGAAGTCAGTTCTGACACAAATGGTCTTAGCTTGACAGATCCTCATCTCTCAATAAACAAGTCCATGCCAAGAGAGTGTTGTTGTTTTTTTATTATTTAAAAGGCTTTATTTCCTCTCCTAAAAAGGAGAGATATTTCGCTTAGTTAGAAAAGGGGAGGGTATATAGTGGGGTCAAGAGAAAGGTGAGTGATGTTTTAACTGGTAAAGTTAATCTGTTAGTAATATTAAAATTTTCTTCTCTGGCTTCTTCTGTGTGTTGTCAAACTTCTTTTTTCAAACTGGTTAAATGGATTGTCTATGTTAATATATTAGTAGTGTCCCAATGGTGCTCCGCTAGCAAAGTCTTTTCCAACGATTTTTAAAACGATCATCTATGGGCTGGCTTCTTTAAATCTCCAGATTCAGGCAGGAACTTCCTTTGTTTACTCTTCTCCGGCTTCTCGGCTTCTCCTCCGGGTCGCTGCTTCCTCTGTCTGTTTGCAAACTGCAAATGTCATAGTCCTTGTTCTCTCGTGCCTCTTCAAAAGGTCTCTGGCTTTGAGAATGGTTTTCTCCTTTTTCCATCTCTCGCTTATATGTTTAAACGCTGCCATTCTCTTAGCTGGACCTTCTCTCCGCAACTGTTGACTTATAAAAGCGCTTTTCAGGGCACTTTCTCGCTTGTCACAGCTCAATTCTTTTCTCACAGTCCCAGTCAAGGTCACAGTCACTCGCAATCTGTTTGTTTAACAACCGGCACAACAAAAGATGAAACGCCTACA